TCTCTCTCTGGTGATTGCGTGTACCCTCTGGCAAACAAACAAACACACACACACAAACAACCTAAACGACAACTCCACAGAACCCAGGAGAGCAAGAGGCTCAGATGGGTGTGACACATGGATACAGGGGAGGTGGGGGGCAGGGGGCAGGAGGGACAGACAAGGCTCAGATGTGAGAGGCGTTGAGAAGGTGGAGCCCGCACTGCTTAGTAAAGGGGGCACAAGAGGAATGAGTCCAGGAGAGAGTCACGTGGGCTGTGTTACTGGAATAATAACCGATTCACGGCCCGCTTTTTCTCCGAAAGGACGGCTTTCCATTGCTGCCTCTGCTCAGACCCCCAGCTCTAACCCCACTCCAGCACGCATGCATTAATGAGGTAGAAACAGAATTCCAGGCCACAGCGGTTTCTGGGCCAGCTCCCAGGCTCAGGTGTCCTGAGCACCGCAGGGGAGCGTGGGTGAGCGTGGCCGTGGGGACTGAGGACAGCCTCTGCAGGACGTCGTCCTGTGATGGAGCCCGCAGTTACGCCGAGTGTAGGGTGTGAACGCACGCGTCTTGCACTGCATGAGAAGGTCCTGAAACAGCTGGTCCTCAGGAGCCCAGCCCCTGCTCTCAGCGGTCCTTGGATGTAGGCTCTGCCCCTTGGGGACCAGGGGGACGCCTTACTGAAATGCTGGGGCCTCTCCATCTTTGTCAGCCCAAACTGAGGGGTGAACACACAGCAGCAAGGGGTGCAAGGGACTGACCCACCTGTTGCATTTTTAGCTTCAAGTATTTTCAGACATTTAGAAGGAAAATGACCTGTCCTTTACTGATCCTTTCGACAAACGAAATGAAGCACAAACCTCCTTGATTCGAGTTCATGTTTACATGGGGACTTCAAAAACCGTGTGGAAAGATGGAATTACAACGCAAGTTGATTTGGGTGCAGAAAACTCAAGTCCACACAGTTTCCCCATAGTACGCATTTCCCATGACCCTTTGAAGGACCCCTTATGTAAGGGGCCGCAGAGCCCATGAGGTGCCCGTGTCCTCACTGTCATTCAGGACTAGGCGTGTCACCGACTCTGGCCAAGGCACGCTCCAGCCTCACAGAGCACTGTGAGACATCGGTGACGGTAAGTACCCCGTGCGCCGAGTTCCAGACAGTGCTCAGCCACACAAGGGAGCTACGGCTGGGGCTGGGTGCCTTTCTCTAACCGGCTGTCACACAGCCGGTGCCTAGCTGAGCCAGGCTGCCCGTTCAAGTCCTTGTGACTCGTACCAGGAAAATCCTGGCAGGGCCTGGGCTACTTCTGCTCTCAAAAACGTACCCTTCCGTGTATGTGTGAAAACCTGCACTCTCATAACTTTTTTCCCCTTTTTTAAAAGTTTTCGCTATAGGGTGTGTGCACTCACTGGAGAGAGACGGAAATAGAGACAGAGAAAAGGGAAAGTGAGAAATCACCCTCGTGGGGGGATGTCTACACCACAATCCCTCCTTCCGTTTCCTCCTGGGATTTGGGGCACGCACACACACATGCCCTGGGTGATTTTCAAGCCGCCAGGTCTGGGGCTCGAACTGCAGAGTTGGGATCCAGCTTCTTTAACCTCCATGCCACCTGCTGGCCCTCATAACTTTTAACCCTGTACCTCGTATCCAAAAAGGTGCCGTTCAGCACTGCCCTCGTTTAGACTTTAAACTGTGGGTGGAAATAAGCAGTTCTGCAAGACTATAATGAGGTTTATTTCTAAGCACAAATCTGAGTGACCTAGGCCAGAGAAGAGGCAAAACACGCCCTTCTCTCAGGGTGACCAGGTACAGGGGTTCCTTTAATTCCATTTCAAGAATAAGAGAATTTGGTGAAGAGCTTCCTATTGGCCTGGCCCATAAAGGCAGGGCATGTGGAAGGGGAGCTTGTAGGTTTGGGATAAGGGCCTTGTGTACAGTCCCAGAACACTGTCCCAGGACAGGGTGTTGGACAGTCCTGTTATCAATGAGTCAAAATGGTCTGTTAGTGATTGTGGGCGTGACTCACCCATTACCTGGGTACTAGGCCAGCCACAGGATGTAGGAAGATTTCTGTTATCAAATGGGTCAAAATGGTCTGTTAATGATTGTGGGTGTGACTCACCCCAGGCCCTCAGAAGGGATTTTTAGAAACAGGAAAAAGCAACCAGACTTCTGTCCTCAGAATAAACCATTTAAAACCCGGTCCAATAAGAATAGGAATCAGCCTAACTTATGAAGAGTTTGTATTTATGAGACCAGCAGTTAGAGTAACGGCTATGTTGCTGGACTCCCATGTAGTTGACTGCGGTTCGAGTCCAGGACCCGGTGGCTTAAACTCACAACGGAGGCGTGCGCACGTGCACGCGCGCGCGTGCGCGCGCGTGTGTGTGTGTGTGTCGCACGTGCACGCGCGCGTGTGTGTGTGTGTGTGTGCCCAAGATCCCGAGAGGAGCATAGAGAAGGGACTGCGACGTGGCCATCCCCCCGGTGGGTGATTTCTTGCTTTCTGTCTCTCTCTGTCTGGTGAGCACATGCGCCAGACAAAAACCTCTCCAAAAAAATAAGTGTTTGTATTTTTGAACATGTTATTACTGGCATAATGCTGATTGTGGAATGAATACATAATAAAAATTAATCTTCTATGGAAAATATGGCAGTTCCTTGAAATGTTAAAAACCCAGTAATTTCATTTTGGGGTACATGCCCTAAGGAATTAAGAGCAGGGACTCGAAGAGTTATTCATGCACCTGTGTCCCTCGTGTCCCCAGTAGCCAATTGCCACCCCTGAGAGGTGGAAGCAGCCCAAGGGTCTACTGATGGATGAATAGAAAAGCAGCCTGTGGTCTAGCCATGGAAAGTCCAGGGCATTCCAAAGGAAGTTCTCAGGGGCCAGCCGGTGCTGGGGGCTATGGTGCGGGACTCCCACATGGCGATTCGAGTCCCGGACCCGGCAGCTTATGAGCTGTGCCAGCAGCTGGAATGGAGATGAAAGAGGCTGGATTCCTATGGCCGACTGTGAGGTCAGAGTTCCAGCCCTGGTGGCTTGAAAAGCACGGCAGGCATGTTTCCCCCAAATACCACGAGCACAACAGAGGAGAAAGGACTGCAGCCCGGCCAGCCCCACTGGGGTGATTTCTCTCTCTCTGGCAAGTACACATGCCCTATAGCAAAACAAAAATAAAACAAAACAAACAAACAAAAACGATAACACGGGCAATGGTTCGCTGAGGGCATTTCAGCACAAGTACAAAAGCCAGTTCTGGTTATCCCACAGCAGGCGAGAGCTTTTCCAGGAGCCAGCGGGGTTCCCCTGCGGAGACAAGTCCCATCACAAAGGACTGCTCTTGTGGAAATGCTTTCCCGGGTCAGTGAGTCCCCACCAGCCCTGGGCACGAAGTCCAGAGAGGCAGGCAGAAGGGAGGGAACAGAGGTGGTGTCTTGGAAGAGGGTCTGCCACACAGCGGAGGAGGAGTCACACGTTGTCCGGGAAGAGAGGAAAGAAAATACAAGTTCGAGATCAGCCTTTTGAGGCCGACTTGCGAAGAAGATGGGGGAGAAAACTCCAAGGCCAAGTCATGAGTGGGAAGCCACCAGGTGTCACCACTACCTGCACCCAGGTCAGTGGTCCCCAGACGGAGGAGACAGTGCGCCACTGTGACGGGGTGATCACAGAAAAGCTGGTCAAAAGGACGCCCTGGGCAAAGGCCTGCAGAAATGCCACTTTCCTGCACTCACCACTTCTGGCATGAAAACACAGCAGTGGAAGTTTAAGACCAACCTGCTGACAGACATTTGACGCTTGAAGTGTCCTCCGAACGCGGCTCCTATGGGCATGTGGCTGCAAGACCTGTAGGACTTCTGCAGGCCTGGCCTGAGCTCCAGCTCCTTGTCCCTGCCCTCCCGGGATGACTTCCTTCACCCAGGACTTCTGCAGGCCTGGCCTGAGCTCCAGCTCCTTGTCCCTGCCCTCCCGGGATGACTTCCTTCACCCAGG